ATTTTTGTTAATATATTTACCTGTTTTTATTTTTTTAATAATTCATTTTAAATTTAATATGTATTTTATTTTAAATTTTGTTATTTTGCTTCAATTAAAACTATATCGTAACTTAACTTTAGTAGCACAAAAAGGAGCTATGCGTTTCGTTTCACGTGGAAAAAAAATAATTACTTTATTTTTTCCCACGAATTTTAGAATTTACAATAAACAATCAAACAAGGTTCAGTAATTAGTTTTAGGCCATTTATGTTAATAACATTATTTTAGTTTAAATAGACACGGAGTGAGTTTTTAGGCAAATGAAAAGTATAATTTAAAATTAGTTAAAAAGACAACCTGCGTTAAACCCAGAAACCTCTTCTTCAGAAGCAAAAATCAGTGTCCTCTTCTTTAGGAGAGGACACTGATTCCTCTTCTTCCTGAAGAAGAGGAACCTTAGCATCGAACGCGGTAGTGTTTTATTCAAAGTCTTTTCCAAACTGGTATTTTTCCCGCAAATTTAAAATTTTACAATGCCCCTATTTTGCTTCAGTTTAAAGCAGGAGTTATTTCATCCTTTATTCATTGTCAAAAAGTGAGTGTTTTTATTTTCTTTATTAATATTTTAAAATAATTTCTTAATATTTTTAAATTATTAAATATTTAAAAATTAAATATTTTTCTAACTATATAACTTTTGTAAAAATAAAACAGAATAAACGAAAAACAAAATTCCCTCATTTTAGTTGCAGTAAATACATATTCTGCATATCAATACATACCCAATTGCTTGGTCTTCGATTACCCAAAATAGACTGAGATTGCTGTGTCCGGATGTTTGGAGTTTTACTGTTCTTAAAATGCAGCTAATACTTACAATGCTTAAATGAAGCGTGTAACAATTTAAGCAGTTTTACTGAAACTATGTAGTGTTACCATATATAACAATTTGCATGATTATAACGTAAATTATTAAAGGACATTAATACCAATATACATTCCGAATACGGCTCTAATTCTCTCTCTCTTTGATTATCATGAATACAATTATTAATAAAATTTGTCCGCCAAAATCTATATAACATAATAATCCTTAGATTTAAGTAAATATCGACCACAATTTAATGTTTGTTAAACGTAAAACAGAAATTCAGCAATAAATTGTACTACACGATTACATATTTAACAGATGTAAATCTCCTTTAAAAATTTTTTAAGTTCTTACTTCAAAAACTGATTAAAATAGTTATTTATAGTTTGAAACAAAATTTAAAAAGGTATTTCCCACATCAAAAGTTTAAAAAATGTCTTACGGGTGAGACTGTTAAGTGCTGGCTAAGAAAATAAGCCCAAGGATTAATTTCCGATGCCAGAAGGGATTAAATGTTTGGATATTTACTTTGTTTTACAATGTGAGACGTACATGAGAGCTAATTTGTTTCACTGAAAAGGTGTACAAAGATACTTAATTCATTCGCCATTATAACATTATATAAGTACACATGGAAAATTAAAAAATTAAAGGAAAAATGAAAGGTTGTAAAATAGCTTTCTGAGTAATGTACATCTGGCATATTTTAGCACAAGCAGTTTTTTTATTTGTTTCCAAACTTCTTTATAAACTAATTAAATTAGTTATTGTATTTATTATTTGTATAATTGTTTACTTCTTTATAAACTAAAATAAATAATATTTTTTTACAAAATAACACATGTTAATATTTAAAACGTTATTTTACTTAATAGAGGAAATAGATCTTTTTAATCCATTCAATTAATTATTATCTCAAGCACGAAAAAAGAAATATTTCTTTCTTTGCGCAGAGTAAAAAAGAAAATGTCCCTAAATAAAAGGTTTAGCTTACAGCATCTTTGCTTTGTAAGTAATTACGTGTGTGATAAAATAAGAGAACCTAAATATCAGTCTGTCTGTGCGTTAATATTAATGGGAACATAAATTTTCATTTGAGCTGGCAGGAAAGACAACAAAACGTTAATACCAATAACATGAGAGTGAGCGTTGTCTTCCTCTTAATTCGTTTTTCGACTAAAACTGAAGGTATTAGATATTTTATATATATAAAAATACTTTTGTTTTAGGTATTTCATATATAACATTTTATAGTATAAGTATGTTTATGTATATATAAACAAAGTTTGAGAAATTTCAATTTAATATGATGAACTACATATTGAAATCGCCCAATGCGCTGTGAAATTATTCAATTAATCAAGGGATAATAATTAAATCAAAATTAAATCATAAAAAGTGGGCTACTAACTAATAGGGAAAACGCACATTAAAGTAAAAACTTAAACATTTCAAATTACGAAAACAATTCAATAAAAATTAAAAACTGATAGGAAACAAATATTAAAAGCAATGTGCTAAATAAGTATTAATTAAATTTTAAACCGACAGAAAAATAGAACAACAAAGAAAATTCACAAAGGCAACTGTTGAAAACGAAGGCTGAGAAATTTTGTTTAATTCAAAATTATGAGGAAACGATTTAATTCAGAATAAAATAATGTTGAAAAGTTTCCGAATTGAAAAATGAAAATGGAAGGCTTATATCTTAAAAAATAGTAATTTGCCTAAAATGTAATAATCTATCCGAAAATGGGAAAAATAAAATAAAGTAAATTAATTTGAAAAAGAAAAAGAAAATAAAACCTAATGGAAGCAAAAATTCGCAATTCTGCAAAAAAAAAAAAAAAAAAAAAAACCATGTGGCGCATTCTGAGTAACTCTTGATTACTATCTCAAGAAAAGAGTCGTGCTGAGTTGCAGCTGTGAAGCTGCATAAGGAAGCAACAAAATGCAAGAAATGAGTTGAGATGCAAAATGAAAATTTGAAACTTAGTGCAAAATTGTAAATTAAATTAGCCTTAATTTCCTAAAATTAAATTAATTAATTTTATAAATCTAGTGTAAAACTGGGAAACAAGTTCGAAAAATTAAATAATTTTTTAATAATTAATAATTTTGAAAAAAGTAGGGTAGCTCATAAAAATTGATAAAATATTATCAATTCTGAGGGAGCTGCTCACTGAAAAAAAAAAAAATGTTGGAAACTTTAAGAAACAAAAGTATACCACTTAACATATCAGAATTTTACATTGTCGGTCATATTTGTTCTGATGACAAAAATGATTTTATTTTAACATTTTTGAAATACTTTTAGCTCTCTTACCTTAACAAAAAACCCCCAAAATTCGCTTTTTTAAACTTATATGTGCCTTGTTTATTTTTAATGCAACTTGAAAACCTTTGTTTACCATACACTATTACTAACGTTGATAGATAAATCACGATAAACCAGGCAGTCTTTTGTATAAATGATATGATGATTAAGAAATAGACCACTTAGAAAGAATGTCGAGGTAAAGTCAAAGGCGATTAATTTCGATTTAAAAAAAAATGAAAAATGAATTATTAAAAAGGATTTTGGAATCAGAATTCGAAACTAGGACTAAATTCTCGAAGTCGGAAAAAGAAGTTTTTGAAATGGAGCAAATCAAAAATATGTCTAAGGTACACAAATTATCGTACTTAAAGCATCATACTATCCCAGGTGTTAAACATTAAATGTTATATATATATATAGTAGCAAACCTAGTATACAACTGTTATTTTAAAACACGTGAGTCTCAAAAGCCATTGTTTAAACAGAAAATAAAAACTCTATATAATTATTGACTTTAGGCACACGCTTCTCCGAAAATTCAAAGCACAGCCCAAATGTCAGAGGGATCCTGGAATTTGATTGACAGTTAATTAAAAAGAGATCAACACTTAATCTAGAGAGAGAAGGAATAGCTCTATTGGAGGTAATGATAACACGAACCCTCATCCCTATCGAAAGTAGGGTTCAACGCAATAAATTAGAAGCGTCTCGTAGCGGCATAACGTTATTTAGAGTTTCCCATTTATGAAGATAAATCGATATCCTCTATTAAAATAGCGTTAATATTTGTTTCCCTCATATGAGCACTAAAGGAACCGAAACAATTTATTTAATATCCTAAAAAATTAGATGGGGAAATTAGGGAGCAAAATCTGCAAAATTTGTTAAAATTTTGTAATAATAATAAATCGATAGTATGACTTTTAAATATAAGGAAAAGAAAGAATTATGTCTAGATAAGTTGGACCAATACTTTAAGCACATAGTGCAGCGGCATTTAAAAGACTTTACTTCAGTAAAGCATCTTACATCGCTTGCTGTTATATAAGTAGCATGCAAGTGTCATATTAATGACATGAGATTTTGAGAAGGCAGTGTTATCCCGTAGTGAATTAGAAGATGAAAATATAAAATAGGAAAATATTTTAGAGTCCAACTGTATTTTCAATCAAACTCTTATGACAATTAAGAATATTTGCTTGTTTGTTTTATTGGAACAAGAAATGAATAGTTGAAAGTTCTTCAGTGTTTTAACAGCAAAGCACATAAGAATTATAATCTCTGTAATTACAACCTATATATCAATCACACTCTTTATGACATTTCTGTTTTTCAGTGGACTGCATATACATAATTTCTAAACTTTATCACTCTTTTTCACTATATGGTAACTGCGTCAATAATGATATTTTAATTTTATTCTATTTTTGAATATGTTGTTCAACTTATTTTGATTTTGGTTTGGTTTAGTGACATTACGGCAAAGCACACTAGGGCTATCTGCCACTAGGGAGGCCTTCGGTAAGGACTTTCTAAGGGAAACTGGCTCGTATACACGTTACACATGGGGAAAACTACGAAAACGCCCATGCAGCCAGCCCGGTCGCGGGATTCGAACTTCGGACCGAACTACCAGTGTTCAGCGACTTTGCCGCTCGGCCGCTGGTGGGCCAACTTATGTTGAAGGGTCTATCATAATAAACTCATTTTCAGTCGTAAGCTGATTTTTAAGAAGCTTTGATAGTTATTCAAAAATGAAGCAAATTATCTCAAAATATTGCACATCATTGAAGTACTAATTATTATTTAAAATATAATTTGCATTACCACCAAAGCACAGATTCCTACTACTACCATTGAAATCATAGCGGTAAGCCATCTGCAATAAAAAGAGAAAAAATTAGAACTACTTATATTCACAAACAATATAACATAGAATTCAGATTCAATACGAATTATCTGATGTTAAAACAGCATTCTAATTAAAACTGTGCCTACCTCCCCAACTTGTATGTCACAAAACCGAATAAATTGGTTCCCAACAGATACCCAAGGCTATCGGGAATAAAGACAGTTCCTGAAAAATTAATAAAACACATAGAATATTTTTAGCTATTTTTCAAATTTAATGAATAAATAATCTAAAATGGTAATTTAACTGTATATTTTTTTGCATATGGTTATTTTTGAAAGAACCGATGAAAAAGAACCACATTTATATATCTGAAATTAGTGTGTTTATTCCATTGTGGTTTACATAGCTGGAAAGCAAGAACTCAAACATTTTAGTGCAACTCTCTACGTGAGTGTCATCTGTAGCTTGATCTGTGTCTATAGGCGATATTCTGTCTTATTTGCCATTTACGAAAGTAGCATGATCGTGTGACCTAGTGCTAACATTTTCCTTATTCGCAATTTCGTGCCACGCAAATCTAAAAAGGTTAAGGCTGTTTCTCGTCAGTCCTCTCAGCGAACAAAACTTTTTGAGTTCTCTACAACTAAACGTAAGCACATTGGTTTCGGAGATGCATGTGTCATTCTTTTTCATAATGTCATTCTCCGTCAAACTATATAGTTAATACAAAACATGATTATCTTAAATTTGCTTTGATTAGTTAAAAATTTATTATTTCCAAATCTATTTAGTTATAATAGCATTGTAAGGGTGAGTTTTTTTATCTTAGTCCAAAAAAAGTGTAAACATTTATGCTAAGGCACAAATCTTTATAAAAGTCTATTTTATGCAAAAGTGTATTTGAAATATGTTACTTTATTTTCTATCACATCCTAAATTTTAAACTCATGTAAATGTAACAGAAATACATTATGCTATGTTATATAGCAAAAATAATATTTAACTTAAAAATTAAAAAAATGAATAACAATATCTTATAAAAGCAACTTGAATGCATTACTGGAACCTTCAAGTTTTTGTGCCTGGAATCAATTTTACATCGAAATTAGTGCGAGTTATATGTTAGTGCGAATATATATAAATATAAATATATGTGTACAACCTGCAGTGCCGAAGTGTTCTTTAATGAACAAGTAGGGAGTTCAAAAATATAGGTATACAGATTTATATATGCATAAGGTAATAAATTTAGAACCAATTTTTTACAAAGAACAAAAATTGAAACTCATAAGTAATAAATTTCAAATAATCCAATAAATGCAATAAAGAATTTAATAAATGTTAAAACCAAAACACTTCAAACAATAGATCATCACTCGTTGAAAAGGTACGCGACCCGGAGGTCTTTGCCTTTCTATATTTATTCCGTCTAGGAGTTCTAGCAATACCAAAATTAAAAAAAATCTATGAAATTTTAAGAAAAAAGAACATAATAGAAGAGGACTTCAGTTCCTTATTGCATTTATAGGATTAATTGAAATTTATTATTTATGAATTTCAATTTTTTGATCTTTGTAAAAAGTTAGTTCTAAATTTCCTACTTTGTGTCTTTACTGATAGTTTTTCAGCAGCTTAATGTGCGAAAATATTAGGCATGATTATATTATGTTTTTTTAAATTGTTTTGTAATTTGAAAGATTATATATTAGTATATATATATAACTGTGTGTGTATCTATTATCGATATATATATAATATCTGTTTTATATATATATATATATATATATATATGTATATAACCTTAAAGCATCTAAATTTAAAATTTTAATTGGATCAAAAACAAGGCAATTCCCCAACAATATTAATAATTACAATCGTGGATAAGCGTCAAACATTGTATCTAAACAAATCAAAATTAGTATAAGAATTCGTCATTGAAATGAACTCGAAAATTAAAAATGCGAAAAGGAAAAAAATATATAAAATATAAAAATATAAAAACTAATCTCCATCTTTTGAAACCCCAATTCAGATCTTAAATGTATCATTCGAATCTTAAATGTATCAAGAATTTTCCCTACACGCATTCCAAACACCTTCTGATATGAACAGAAAAATGATTCTGATATGAACTGATATGAAATATTTCTGATATGAACAGAAAAATGAAAACATTACATTATACAAAACTGACTACTCAAACAAAACTTGTCAAGTATACATTAAATGTAAATCAGACATTCAAAAAATAATTACAAATTAAGGAGCAAAAGAATACAGTTTTAAATCAAATTGTCATTTAAACAACACTCAAAAAACTCTATTGTCCACGATTATGCGATCCAGAACTTTTAATGCCAAGAAAACGAAAAACTTTTTAGAAGAGATTTCTATAAATATAAAACTCTAATCCGAGCTTTATACAGCTAAAAACTGAAAACCCATCAGAAACCAAATAAATAGAACAAAACGCAAGACCTATTACCTATGGTTGCAATTATTAATATTGTTGGGGAATTCCCTTGTTTTGATTCCAGTTTAAAATTTAAATTTAGATGCTTTAAGTTTAATTTACTTCAATCCTGCAGCTATAACGACAAGACAGGTTAAAATTTATGGCATTTTTCTATGTTTATCTTTGTATATATATATATGTGTGTGTGTGTGTGTGTGTAAGATAGAGTTTTACATATATTTATATTGTGATCATCATTTTAATGCCCTTAAACTGAAGCATAAGCCTGGATTGCGACCTACATCTGAGGGTATGGTCATTAACATAAAGGCAGTTCTCAGACGCAATAAAATTTCAAAATAGTTCTGCGAAATTGTTCCTCTTTCTTACACTATTTTTCCCATTGTAATTTTGTAATGTTGTACATTTGCTCAGTGTTGTGATTTATTATTATTATTATGATGATGATGATGATTAGTCCAAATGGGCTTTGTCCCTGAAGGACTATTGTTTTCGTTTTGCGATTTTGCGTTGAAAACTTTAAAAGGCTGTATCACTTTTCAAATCATTGCCACCAAATACTATCGCCCTATAGTGTATGTTTCTCGCATTGTGATAAAACGATACCCTGGAGCTATCCAGTTTTGAATGACGTAATGCTACTGCGAATATGGGTATCTGAAAGCCCAAATTTGAAATTTGGAATTTCTTTTTATCAATTTCATATTTTGTAAAACTTTAACGAATTTTTGATTAGCAAACTCAACGATTTAAAAGCGAGCAATGGCAACACTCTACGGGGGGATAAAACATGTTTATCTCTAGCGCGCGGAACTGTGTATCAGAAATTCTAAAGATATGCTCATTTTAATATTATTTCGCGACATTGCTGTTGAACTGAATTTTATGGTTTAAGTGCAAAGAACATGATATTTAATAAATAAAGGTAACACACAAAACGTTAAAAAAAACGTCTGTTTGGACGTAATTTAAAATCTGAAACCTTTCAGATTTATTATTATTATTATTATTGTTATTATTATTGGGGTGATTTCAGCGACTTCTGTCACCAGTAATCCCATGTGCCGCCCTCTTAATTTTGTGAACTGTTTTCTATGCTAATTTTTGAATAACCTGATATATCTATATTTTCTTTGATTTAAAAAGATTTTTTAAAATGCTTAAAAATTTTCAGCTGTTAATCACACATTTTTATCAAATTATATTTAGAAAGAGACCCTCAACGTTCAAGCGTTTAATTTATGTATTTTATTCAGTATATTTCAAGTGTACCTTCTTAATATATATGTATGTATTTTAACAACTGTATTCTTGTATTTGTTTTTTTTAAAACGCAGATCTCAAATTTTAATTTAATTAAAAACCTTTTTAAGTAAATGTTTTGTCGCTATTATTATTACTATTATTCCTGTCATTTTTCTGATATGAAAAATTGCAGAGTCTCGAAATTCGAGAAACTTGACAGATTAGAGGACCTTTTAGGATTCGGATTTGCATTCCAGAAAATTTAGGTTTGGGCCAATCTGTGGTTAAAATGATGTGAGTAGTTTATAAAGTGCGATGTTATTAGTAAATCTCTCTGCTTCTTTAAACATCTCATGATCGTAATAAAGAATAAAACGAAGAACTGTGTTTCTTCATACGTGTCATATCTAGAACTTCTTGTCTTACCGAGTTGCCATCTTGGAGGATCCATAGATTCCATCAACCATAAAGGCAGACAAGGCTCTAAAACGGCAATGGCAAACGTGGAAATACATATAGCTCCTATAGAATGGGCATAAACAATTTATTAAATTATTTATCAAAAAATGATAATCAAACTCAATTACGAAATATTAATTCCTTTTAAAACTAGATTATTCCTTTTAAGTATTAATTCCTTTTAAGACTGAAACTTAGTATATACCTATATTGCCCCAAAGCAGTCAAATTGACTGCATTGTGAAAGAATAACTAATGTGTAAAGAAATTTGTTTAAAATTAATTTTTCATATTTTTATATTATTTAATTACTAGTAAGTATTAACAATAAAAAATATGTGTTTATATGTTGTACAAAAAGTCACAAAATTATAAGTAGCTGTGTCATTATATATATAACTGTTTTTCTAATTGAAATTGAAAAGCAGTCAAAATGACTTCCTTAGGCAATCTAGTGTTAAATACTTTTACATATAACCATTATTATATATCAGTATTGTCAAACTCGCGGACCATGATTAATTTTTATTCGGCTTTCGAGAAAATAACAAAAATATAATTATACTATTTTAATAAAAAATTGAGGTTTCACGTAATATCGAATGCAATCTCGAGGGTTATAAAGGACTCTTGAAATAATCCCTTTACAAAAACAGTTAGCCTATTTATAGATAAAGATTGAACGAAGTGGGTATTCCCGAATTCTACAAACATCTGATGCGTAATTTTAGCAAAGCCGCAAATTTGCGTCATACTTAGTTTCTATGTTCGGTAGTACTTTTCAGTATGAACAACTTCTCTACTAACAAAAATGAAGTCCCCAACAACCTCCAAGTTAACAGACATCCATATGACTTCTGTTCTGAAAATTGTTCTTTAGAGAAGCATGTCGCCAGATATCCAGTAACTGGTCGCAAGAAAAAAGATTCCAGGTGTGACGAAAGAAACAACAGTTGCCTATTTTTTGTATTCCACTTATTTTGAAATAACTGTTATATTAAGTAAGATTTAAGTAAGATAAACGGATTTTCTACCCTTGCGGCCTGCACTATTATACACGGATGACTATTTGGCCCACTTCAGATACGGAGTTTGACATACCTGTTATATACCGGGTGATCAAAAAGTCAGTATAAATTTGAAAGCTTAATAAATCACGGAATAATGTAGATAGAGAGGTAAAAATTGACACACATACTTAGAATGACATGGGGTTTTATTTAACCAAAAAAAAAAAAGTTCAATAAAAGTACTGTTATCGGGCCTTTTTTCTTCAAGGAAAGGCGTGATTCTGGTTTTGTAACTGCTACCGTGACGGGTGAGAGGTACGCCGATATGTTACAGAATCGCATAGTCCCCAGGCTGGCTGATAAACACCTGCTGGAACGTACGATTTCTATGCAGGATGGCGCTCCACCCCATATTGCTAGACGCGTGAAAGATCTCTTGCGCGCGTCGTTTGGTGATGATCGTGTGCTCAGCCGCCACTTTCGTCATGCTTGGCCTTCCAGGTCCCCAGACCTCAGTCCGTGCGATTATTGGCTTTGGGGTTACCTGAAGTCGCAAGTGTATCGTGATCGACCGACATCTCTAGGGATGCTGAAAGACAACATCCGACGCCAGTGCCTCATCATAACTCCGGACATGCTTTACAGTGCTGTTCACAACATTATTCCTCGACTACAGCTATTTTTGAGGAATGATGGTGAACATATTGAGCATTTCCTCTAAAGAACATCATCTTTGCTTTGTCTTAATTTGTTATGCTAATTATTGCTTTTCTGATCAGATTATTGCTTTTCTAATAAAACCCCATGTCATTCTAAGTATGTGTGTCAATTTTTACCTCTCTATCTACATTATTCCGTAATTTATTAAGTTTTCAAATTTATACTGACTTTTTGATCACCCGGTATATATAATTCCATACATTTACTGATAAATTAATCCAAATGTTTATAAAACTGAAAGAAAAGAAAGTCTTATTTTTACTAATCTAATACGATGCTAATTTAAATCACTTTTCGTGTGTAAATATTTTTTACAGTTGCGAACCTTTTTTGATACAAATGAGGTTATTAAAAATAAAGGGAGACATAAAAAGATAAGTTTTTGGAAACAAGCAAGATGAAAAATTAGCAACGCCTTGACCGGGAATCGAACCGCGGACCTCTGGAATACGCGCCTAGCGTGCAGACCACCACACCACAAAAACATGCCAAGAAGGCGGGAGGAATACCTTATATATTCCCCTTTTTAAAGAGCTACTGGAGGTTTTAGGGGACCCAATCGCCAAATCCTGGGTGTGGAGAACCATCATCCACCAACCTTTTCGTTTGGGCGCCACTGTAGTGATATTAGGGGGTTTTTTTGGGGGGGGGAAGCAAGAGATTTAAAAAATGAGCAAACCATTTCGCCGGGAATCGAACCGCGGATCACTGGAATACGCGACCATCGTGCAAAAACCACCACACCGCGAAGGCATGCTAGAAATACCTTATATATTAACAAATTTTCTGATCAATTCTTAAAGAAAATCTGAAATGCAGTTCTAAAACCCACACCAGGACTTAAGTTATTAAGCTAAAACTTGGAAAGAAATGTTATTATTTTGAATACTTTCGTAATCATAGGGATGGCTAATTCAGGGCAGTTACTAGCATTCCGATATAAGGAATCCAAAACTGAAACTAAAACTTCGATGTGATTTACTATTCATTTAATAACTTAAGGAAAATTTTGTTTAATAAAAACAAGATTTTTGTTAATCCTTTCTCCGCAGCGTAATAAAATTTAATATATTTCTAAAATTTTATATATATATATGCAGTTTTTTACGATGTTAATTTACTCGTGAAATCAAATAAAAATAATAGGATATATTTAGTAATAGAAAGACTTATTTGCTAAAGTTTGTTAAGAAGACGCATGTACTAAGCTTTTATGTACTGTTTACTTATAAATAAACATAAATTCGGCAACAAAAAAAATGTATGCATACACTTAAATCGCATGTTCCTGTTTGTTCTATAAATAAGTTATAAAAAACTGTAAGGTCATGTAAAACTGTTAAGCTCTTTGTTCTGTAACGAATAAACTGTAAGTACTGACTCATTTTCGGAATTAAGTTTTGGCTTTTATCTGCATACTGATTTTAAGTTAGTATTATGATGATCTATTTTTCATGAAAATTTAAACCACATATTAATATTTAATTTATATATTTTCATTTCTGTACTTAAAATTACTAATATTTTAGAAATGAAAAATGCAATGTAGAACATAATTTCCGATAAAACGTTTACTTACTTTTATGTTTCATATGAACTTTTGCGTTTTTAAATACTTAAATTAGCACATCATTTTTTTTAATTTTAAGAACTTAGTTATTTTAAGCCTACATAAACATAAATGAACATCTATCAAAACCAAAGAGATTTTAATATTGATCTGTAATAGTTAAACTTTCCATTCTACCTTAAATTAAATGTAGAAAAGCTACAAATTTAAATTAAACTTAAAGTCACAGTTTCGATATATGTAATTACAAAACCCTGTCAGAAATGCTATCAGGTTAGATGGATCAAATTAATTAGTTAAATCTACTAACTGGAAAGAATTAAAGCACGATGAATCGGGTAAAAACGCAATTGAAAGTATACATTGCCTTTACTAATACATTACAGAAAAGCACAGATTTCCAGTCGCTGAATCGAAAGATTAATTGGCATCATTTGTCTCGGATCACATGCTCAAAGAGAGAAGGAATCAGAGCAAGGGCCATGTCATCAGTTTATCTATCCGCTGGCCCTCATTACTTCAGACGAGAGTATTAAGTGCAATATTTATTACTCCTGATACTAAGCACATATCCAGGAGAGTTTCCAAAAATTAAGCTAGAAGTCGAATGCATTTTTACTATACTGCATTTCTACTACATATTACGAATGCGATGTTAAAATCCTGAAGATCTACAACATGTAATTTTGTCTTCTTACGTCACTGAGTTGACTTTTAAATATTTATATTACTTTATTTATCGCTAAAAATTGTGAATAATATTCTTAATTTTATTTTGCTCATGATTAAGAAACTAGGCTTCACACTTGAAGGGATTGTATCAAACATGAAGAATTCCATGTTATGTGAAGTATATAACTATGAGGATTATATGAATTTATATAATACTAATATTAGTATATAAGAGAGTGTTAATAGACACCTTGCGATGTATTTTGCGTTCCTATAGCGATATGTATCCTTTATTGTACCCTTTCGCGAAACAAAAACTTTCCCTGTGCTATTCAAGATTTACTTATTCTATATACTTGAGCGTTACACAGCTGATGCTCTTTGAGATTTAATTAAATGAGCTTTAATTCTTCTGTAATACCATTGAACAGAAACATCGCCTTTAAAATATCAGCCAGAAACCTTAAATTAAGTATTAATTAACTTGCAAGGTCTCTGGCATCATTAATTCCTTTTTTAAAGCTAAGTGCATACTAGTTTTATCTTGCCTTGACTAAAGTAAGGTCAGAACATAACTTTATAATAAAAACAAAAGAATTCCGTAATCGTAACCTAACACTGATTTGTATCCGTTTGGTTTTGTTTTTGAGTTTATATCAAAATGAATACTTAAAAATCTCCTTAAAATACAAATTTTAGCAGCAGAACAATGGCATTAATAATCCACCCGTTCTCTTCTCTCATTTTATTAAAGATAATTGAATAATTCTGGAATAAATGAATATTTTGCAAGTAAAGAGTACCGCAGATTCCGGAAGAAATGTGTATGTCTTTTATCTTTTGAAGTTAGAGGTTTTTCTCTTTCGCCAGTTACTTGAAGCCGCGTTTTTGAAGTGAATATCAAAGGCTTTAGTAAATCACATTTGCTTTAAATAAAATATAGTTATCTAGTGTTCCTTTCTATAATAAGTATGGCTCTTGACAAACGCTACAAATACGATGTTGGTTTCAAATGCAAAGTCATTCAGTTTGCGAAAGAAAATGGAAATCGTGCTGCAGCAAGGATGTTTGGCGTTGTTGAAACCTCCATA